AAGTACTTTAAACTGTATAAATAATGTAAAATTAAATTGATTTAAACTGCCAATCATACGAATGTCTGCCTATGACCCTCAACCCTAACCATGATGCATTCCGGCCATTCCGACCCGGAAATTTAGGGATCCTTCTGTAAAAAATGCTCTTTAGTTCGAATTGTCGACTCGATTTTTTCCAGCTGTTTTCATAAATTCTGGAACAACTGAAAAAGTTACCAATAAGAAATCACTTAAGCCGAACTCGGAAACTTATCGATTTGGTCATCGGCAATTTTTTCAGAATTTATGAAAACAGCTGTAAACTTCTGATTCGAGCAATCGAACCGGTCGGTCAATTTTTGCCAGATTTTCCAGAATTTATGAAATAAAAATTTATATAAGATAAATTTTTTTTTTTATATTATTGTTTGTTTGTTTTAGTGATAAGAATAATACATTTTATTTGTATTACAATATCCTGAATCGGCCATCACATTTGCGATAGTAAAATTGGTTCAGGAATTTAATAATTAAAGGATGTCTATGATTTAGCGTTAGTTAGTAGAATTTTGTGTATTCCGACTGTGTCATAAGTGACATCACAGCAAGAATGATAGCTTTGATACAGTATATGGGTGGATCTTGAACTAGATTTATTATAAGCTAGATGTATAGATCAGAATCAAATGAAAATTTATACCATTCGATTCCTCACATCAAAGAGGAATCAAATGGTGTAAATTTTATGTAATTCGGAAGTTAATACATTTTTTAATAATCAATTTGGTCATGAGATATTCATTTAAGCTGTTTAAATATATGGAAAACTATAATAAAAAGATGTTAATATCTCATGCTCGTGACCATAATCCAATTAATTTTAAACCATTCGATTCCTCTTATCGAGAGGAATCGAACAATTTAAAAATATTTGAATTCCGGTCACGGAGTCACGAGATATTAACGGTTCGTCACAGTACCACCGTTATTTTTTAAATTCAAATATCGCGTAACAGTATGGTTAAAAATTGTTAACTTCGTTATAATACCTCAATTCCCCTTATATTCTTCTCTCATTAATATTTGCAAAGATAAAATTACCTTTTCAATTAGAAAACTTGGAAAAATAGACCTTTTTATTATTTACTGTAAATTTAAAAGTTTTACTTAGAATTATTATATAGACTGGATTATAAATTTTCTACTGTAGTTAAGGTTTTTTATTCCCCAATATATATATGTTATATACAGTGGCGATCATAAGTAATGCAACACATGATAATTTTTATAATAAAACATAGTAACTATTGAAATTTTCACTCTATAATAAAAATTTTTGGAAAGTTTATTAAAAATAATTTTTTTATATCAGAATAAATTTCATCAATTGTAGTTTCTAAAAAATATTTTTTCGGATTTTTTAAAAATTATTATAGCAAAGTTGTTCTAAGGTCGAAACCCTAGTGAAAAAGTTTTATATGTATTACTTATAAAATTTTGTTGCTAGGGTTTTGACCTTAGAACAACTTTATCATAAAAATTTTTAAAAAATCCGAAAAAATATTTTTTAGAAACTACAATTGATGAAATTTATTCTGATATAAAAAAAATATTTTTAAAAAATTTTCTAAAAATTTTCATTATAGAGTAAAAATTTCAATAGTTACTATGGTTTATTATAAAAATTATCACGTGTTGCATTACTTATGATCGCCACTGTATATGTTAGCATAGTATTACTGGCTTGGCCATCGGTTCAGTTGTCCGATTCAGATTTGATTAATTGTCCAAGGAATAATGAATGAAAAAAAATTTAATAAAGAGTCAGCCAGATATGTATCTTTTGAAAACTAAGTACAGTAACTGTGATACAATTTAAAAAAATCATATTTTATTTATTTTATTTCTGTATTTGTGGATGTTGTGCCTCTGTACCTCTTGTTCATGTGTGATCGTCATACATTATAAAAACCTCGATCATCTAAACAACGCCTGAAGTTAAAATAGTGAATAAAAATTCTTTCTTAATGGCAAAATTTCACGCTTTGATAAAAGAAAAATTTCAACAAAATTTTTATGAACCGATTAATAATCATTTACGCACAGATGTACGGTCTGCAGAGGAAACACAAATAAGCAGCGAGGTTGTGGAAGAGTCTACTAATTCTGAACAAAGCTGTATATTAATTCCTTCATATGCTTGTCGTGATAAAGGTATAAAGTTCTAGACATGTCATTATTTTTCAATAATGTATCATGAAAATGATTTTTGAATCAATTTTCCTATGATATATCCGGAAAAGAATTTAAGGACCGATTGAGTTAACTCAGCTGTACAATTATCAAGTAATTATATGTGTATAAATGCTATGACATTTATATGTTTACTCTCATTTGATAGGAGGAGAAGAATGGAAAGTTTATGTACGAGGCTGGGCTTTTAGCTCCAAAACTCAAAGCCGGAAGCAAAAATGGATGATCGGTAGGTGTTTAAATGCAAAAGGTAGAATGATTATCGTAATAATTATTTCACTTTAACTTCCTCAAAATCAATAAGGTGTTGCACGTCGGGTAGCTGGTGTGAACAATGATGAGCAAAAAAGCAAAACACTTGAAGATAGATTTAGCATGTTTTTAGCAAAAAATCTTAGAAATCAAGAATATAATGTTCAAATAGATGGCCTTGCTCTAGGTGATGATGATTTTTCTCAAGACTGTGATGACAAGTCGCAGTGCTATGACTCTCAAACCTCATCCACTCACATTACAAGTGACGCCGGTCATTTTTCGGGCATAATTAGGATTCGTGCCGAAATTATCGATAAGTGGATTGCTAGCGTAAACAAAAATGATATGCCCGTAAGATGGCTTAAATTATCTGCAATGCCAGAAGGGGAAATGCAAGGTACAGTAATTCAACCTATGATAATTTGAATGTATAATTCAAAAGATTTTTATTGAAGTCCATTGTCGATTTCATAACAGATAAAGCGGAAAAAACTTATGGCTTCGCCAACTTAATTGATGTTTATGGCATATCTATCATATCCGTAAATGAGCTTCTTTTTTTTATTATTATTATGCATGTCTCATGCTACTCTATTTTTTCATAACAAATCCTTTACATTCCAAAGGATATTGATGACACTATCAAACACACGGGCATAGGCGGTGGTCCACGTGTAGCGCTTTCTAGTACCTTTTTGTACGATCCGAAAGAGGTAAAAAAGTCTTTCTTAGCGTTCAATGTCTTTTCTTAAGCAACAATTAATTATTTATCTTCAATAACTATTTGCTAGGTTTCTGGTATGGCCGAAGTTTATAAAGAATGGGTTCGTGTAAACATAAAACGTATCATTAATTCTTACCGACTTTTTTTGCGGAAAATAATTGCTTCTTTTTTTATATGTAATAGTATGATCAAGGCGCATCGATACACTACGTATCAAATTCTCCTTGGCAACTATTTCCCATGCTAGAACAATTTTTCCGCACTAAGAATTTTCCTCGTGGTTCGACGCATCTGAAACTATATAATGATCTAAAAAGCCTAATAGAAGAACCAGGGAATACAAAACGCAAATATATTAAAGAAATTATTAAGGTTAGTACTTCAATTTATTTTTCAATAATTAACCCAATAGATTTCTGATAATATATTTCCTTAATAGGACTTTCCTAATAGAAAATTTATCCTTATTGGTGATAGTGGAGAAATTGACATGGAAATGTATTATTTATTTATTTATTTATTTTTTGTTGTTTCAAGAATTTCATCTATAAAAATATTAATTAATTATATTACACGTTTTTTTTTTTAAAAAAAAGCTATTCCGACATAGCGGAAGAATTTCCAGATCAAATTTTATACGTCTTTATCCACGATGTGTCCACAGAACGTCTTAAATCGCGTCCACCACCTCCAAAACGATCAAGGTCTTTTCCATTTATACCGACGCGTCCTCCACGTTTGTCCAAATTTCCAAATACAATGCCAGCTGTAATTGATACTAGTGTAGATAATATTGTCGAAAATAATACCGTCGAAAATAATACTGTCGTCGTAGAAAGTTCCGTCGTCATAGATAATTCTTCAGCGGATGATTCTGGTGTTGGAATTTTGTCGCCATCTGAATACTCAACACCAACACTACCAACAACACCAACAACACCACCAACACCAACAACACCACCAACACCACCAACACCACTCACTCCAACTACACCAGGTATCGATCTTCTTCAGGAATTTCTAGACCGTGTCGAAAAATGTCGTCAAAAAGTTCCTCGTTATGCCTTTGAACTGTTTACAGACAGTCAAGTTTTAAAAGAGAATGAGATTATTAAAAAAGAATTTCTTAAATTACGGAAATGATTTTTTATTTATTTATTTATTTGTATTAATAGCACTTAATGTTACTTAAATTTTTCTTTTTATTTATACATGTACATCATATATTAAACCATAAATTTTTTATACCCTGAAGTTAATGTCTAGTGCAAGGTTTAATATTTATAATTAATTGCAAAAACTATAATAAAGTTATTTTTTAATAAATTTTATAATAGATTTACTAGGAAAATGGAACCATTCAAAGTCCGAAAGAATGATTATTTTTTTTTACTGTACACATGATAATATTTATTAAAAATTTTTAAAATTACAACTGTTAGAGAAATTATAAAAAACAAAATAACTAATTATTTTAAGAAACTATAAAAAAAAAAGATTATATTTTTTTTTTTTTGGTATTAAGGTGACCTCTTTGGCCTGGGGACTTTTATTAGAGGACTGGATAGCAGTCTTATAATGTAATTACAACGATGGTACATCAAGCCTTTTGAGTGCCTAATTTAAGTAGTCCGCCCAAAGGTTCTACACTATCTGTCATACCTGCACCCCAACTAGGGGGGTACCCATTTAAACCATCTGGTTACAACTACCCGCCATTGCCCCTCTAACCCAGGGTATTACCTCACCATATGTAAGTGGATTTTGGTATCTACCCATGTGGATTTTGCACTCTACCTCAGTGTTGTACATTTTGGATGTCCGAGCCTTTTTAAACTGTCTGGCGGACTGTCCGAATCTCATCTGGCTTACAAATCCAATCTTAAAAATACACTCATATATGCAAAAATCAATTCTGAACAACTTTAATTAATAATTGAAGGCGGGTCACGATAATAAAATCTTGTCCTATTTAGTATTATTTAGTGTCAAACTCTGTCCGAGTATTGTCCGAGTTGTCTAAGTGACAACACTGCCCTACCTTAGTAGGACTTACTAGTCACAATTGGATTTATCAATCCCTGTCTTAAGACTAACTAACCATATATGGCTAATCTGGTAAACCTAACAGAGTGGTACATGTTCCACACATGTATTCACCTGCATGTTTCTATAACTTCTTCCTAATTAGTACATATTGATTTGCCATTCTGTATTTGTATCTCATGCTACTGTTAGACCCAAAAATAGTTCCACTATTTCAAATTATACAGACATGCATATCTACAAGATTATATGATACACGTGATTGTCAAATGCACAGTTCGGGCAAACTCTTACCCAAACTCATAACTGAGCAGCATATTTTATTTTTATTTTTGTATTACTTATCTTAACCATTTTTATATTTTTCATACATAGCATACATATTACCATATATAGAAAATTATACATAACATAGAGATGAATGCATGATGAAACATCATTCGATCAGAATGATGAATTGAACCTCTTGTAGGCAAAGGCCCAGGATACACTATTTGATGACTAAGTGGGAATTACCACTTAGCATCAAAGCCTACTATTACACTTCGGGAAAACATCCTTCCCGAACTTATTAGGTAACAGATAAACAAAAAGCATTTAAATATTATAAAAACGCCCCATGCTCTATATGCGATTACTGGTCCTTACTATAATTACCTAAGACAAATGTCCAAGCCAAGAGGAGGGCCTAATATAAACAAAAGAATCAAGATTAAATTAGTGATTAAAGGAGGAGAAACACAAATTAATAATAGGTAGAAGAAAACCCAATAAATAGAATAGTTTAATAATTTATACAAAATGAAAATATATTTAAAGACTTAACTTTTGGCCTCAATAAAAACATCGTTCAATTCCTAACTTAATAATAAAAATCTAATACCTGTGTCTTTATACACAAGTTCCCTTTTTATTGACACCATTAAGAATCTTAATGATCGAACCCACATGATTGATGTAAAGAGATTTCACAATCATGTATTCTTGTTGTTAAACTTACCCAAATGACTTCTTGTATCTTTATATACATTTAGCTGTTATCTCTTTCGAACCCAAATCACATTGAAAGCCTCTTAGTATTCACAGCTTAAGATAAAGCATGTGAGGCATTTATAAGTTATCAACTGGTTTTGTTATTGATTGTAAAGGTTGAACGTCAAGCATTCATTTATTATCAACCCGGTTATATTGAGCCGTTTAAGAGGTGGTTTGAGTGTAACATTTTGGTGGTGACTGTGAGATACAGACTCCACATTTATTTAATAGATTAGACAGTATATGAGTTATAATTTGACTCAAAATACAGATAGAATCGATCACTTTACCACTCATACTAATTTAAAGAAAGACTTTGTTATCTCTTATCCACCAAATTTTCAAAAAGATTTCGCTAATTTGCTAATTGGTATTCACTAACATATTCTGTGAGTACATTTACAGGAAAGACTTCTAACTACTTTAAGGAATTCAGAAACCTATATCAAAATTCTCAATCTGCACAGTGCCGTAACCTCGTGGTTAAATTGGTCCTTAGCGTTAAATATTGCCGTTTGCCGGGAACTTATCAGAATTAATCAAAGTAATTACTACTATAGCTACCCACACTCAGTGTTTTAAAACTGATTCACTTGCTTTTCTCAATACTATACAACCACTTACACCTATAACCAATATGACTACTGCTACTATCCAGAATGTATACAATTACCTCGTAGCAAATCCACGTGAATCTGTCATTTTGCATGTCGAACCGTTTTTGGGTAATAGAACCCAGAACCCACATGCCTGGTTGGAAAGCTTTAAAAAGGCTGCTAATGCAAATAACTGGGATGATAGAAGAAAGAGATATATTTTCCCAGCCTTTATAAGAGATGCTGCAAAAAAATGGCAGTACGCCCATTTCATCAGTAAAACTTATAGCACAAACTATGAGGATAATTGGAAGGATATTACTGATTCTTTTAAGGAAAGATTCTGTAACCAGCGTTGGAGAAACAAATGGTTAAGTGACTTAGACACTTTTAGGCAGAAACCGGAAGAGCCTATCAATGCTTACTATAATAGATTCAACCGGCTGATAAAGCGTATTGAGCCCGTAGTGACACTTTTGGAAAACCAACAACTCTTTTATTATAAAAGAGGAATATTACCAAGTTTACTCCCTATGATTATGTTGCATAAACTTACAGATATCACGGGAATTACAGATTATGCCCAGATGTATAAAGAAAATACTGATTTTGCTACCAATGCTAATCCGGTCCAGGGAACTTTATCAAAGAATTTGAAAAGAGATATAGAGTTCCTTATCCAACAAATACAACAAATGTCTCTTAATTACGCCACCCCGGCATCAACCATATGTTAAGGACTGTAAGGAGGCTAAGCAAAAGCAATCAGATTCGGAAAAAGAGAATGCTTTGCTAAAGAAGACCCCAAAAGTACAACCCACTTTCGAGACCCTGAAACTAGAGGACCCCATGGATGTTACAGTAAATTTTCTAATTAGTAAGAAGGTAATCAAAAAAAGAATGCCTTCCATCATCGATCAAATTCAGCTCTACAATGTAGTGGAGGATATAAAAGCCAATATGATATTGGCACAAGCTCTTAAATATCCTGACCAGAAGCAGAATCTGGCCAAGATTATGAAAAGACCTAAACAACCCACCACCGAAGCTAACAGTTTAGAAACAGACAAAACCTGGAAAACTGTAGCAATGAGATGCCACGTGAAAATTAAGGGCACCCCGGTCATAGCAATTTTAGATTCAGGTGCTGCCGTGAGTATCATCACCAACAAGTTGATAAAAAGATTAGGGCTTGCACCAACCAAAGAATCCAAGACAGTGGTCGTAACTACCAATGGTGGCAGATCAAAAGCTCTTGGCATCATAGAAAACATCAAGATCATATTACAAGACATAGTCATCCCGATTGACCTGCAAGTTATAGAATCTATAGATGAGACTCTATTACTTGGGACAGATTGGTTTGCCAAGTCTTGTGCCACTCTGAATTTTAGAAATCATACCTTGCATATTAAGTATGTAGGTAAGCAGACCACCATCAACACTACTCATACCAGCACCACCCCACCACTCCCCATCGAGAATACAAATGAGGAGAATGATGATCAGTAGGTGGATGAACTTGATAAAGAATTAGAGACCTTTTTCTTTGATAAAGCCACCACAGATTCCAAAGATGGATTGTTTTATAATCCTTGGAAAAATGAGGTTAGCCCAGCCATATGTTTGATAGAAACAATGGATAGTATGGACCAACCAGAAACCCCACCCAATTACAATATCGGCCAAGAGGTTACTCCACGGCAAAAAGAAGTAGCCCATAAGTTGTTGCTTCAGAACTATGAAGTCTTTGCCACAGATATCTTGGAAAATAGACAGACAATGGGGCTTGAATATACTGATATATTACAACATCGGATTAATACCAGAAAAGCTCAACCTATTAAGCAGAAGCCTTATCAGATTTCACCAGATCAACAAGACTTTCTCCAAAAGGAACTTAACAAAATAAAGAAATTAGAAGTTATACGTGCCATCGAAGGACTATGGGGTTCCCTGGTGGTAATTGTCTCTAAAAAAGATAGGAAATGAAGAATTTGCATGGATTATTGCAAGCTAAATATGGTGATATTTATCCTTTACCTAATATCAACGAAATACTGGACAGCTTCGGAAAAGCCAAGTAGTTTTCTAGCTTGGATTTGGCTAGTGGCTATTGGCAAGTAGCCATGGCTGAGAAAGACAAGAAAAAGATAGCTCTTATTACCAAATTCGGCACATACGAGTTCAACATAATGCCGTTTGGCCTCTATAATATGCCCACCACATTTCAACAGTTAATGGATACTGTCTTAAGGGAATTTATTAATAAATTTGTAGTCGTGTATTTGGACGACATAACCATCTATTCTAACACTTTTGAAGAACACCTCCAACACCTACAGCAAGTATTTGCTAAGTTAAAGGCAGCTAAATTAATATTAAATTTAAACAAATGCTTTTTCTTCTTACCTAACATCAAGTTCTTGAGACACATCGTGAGACAAGATGGATTAAGGCCGGACGAGGATAAGATTATTAAAATTAAGAATAATTCTATCCCAGTCAACTTGCGCCAGATTAGGGGATTTCTAGAACTTGCTTCTTATTATAGAAAGTTTATAAATAGGTTCTCTAAAATTGCTAAGCCTTTGAACTAGTTGTTAAAGAAGGACAAACTGTATGTTTGGGCCGAAGAGCAACAACATGCTTTCAATGCCCTGAAAAATCATTTTATATTAACGCCAATTCTACAGCAGCCTGATTTTGAAAGATCATTTTATATTCATACAATTGCTTCCAACTCCAGATTAGGTGCTGTATTGGCCCAATTTGATGATCAAAAGAGAGAATATGTTATATCATATGCTAGCCGTAGTCTGAGTAAGGCTAAAAAGAATTATTCAGCCACAGAGTTAGAATGTTTGGCAGTCATATGGGCTGTTGAATACTTCTACCACTATATTGGAAGTAAACACTTTTACCTTATAATGGATCATGCCGCCCTTAAATAGTTGTGGACTAGTGAATTGAAAGGTATCTGTGCTCGTTGGATTCTAAGATTAGAACCCTACACCTTTATAGTGATTCATTATTCCGGGAAAGTACATCGAAATGCAGATGCATTATCTTGAATTTATGATGAGAGTCCCTTGGATAAAGAAAAAACACTGCAAAGTAATTTTGAAAAAGATCCAATAGACCTTCCTTTTAATGATGACCTCGTCGAAGTGTTTGCACTAGCCATCGAGGATACATCAGAGCCAATACTGGCCAATAGTAATGTTGTTTAAATTGTAAGAAATACATTACAACACTGCCCCATTACAGATGTCAGGCCCTATGATAACGCCCAGTTCACCCAGAAAGGAATTTACTGTAATGGGATGATGTATTCGTGGTATTCAATTGAGCACATTGCGTCTAGGTTGAATAAAAAAGATAAAAAAAGAGGTTATTTTTGTAATTACAAAGGCCCCAATGTGCAATGTTGGTGTGATGAAAACCAATATTCTCTCAGTGATGAATGTATCATCTGTTACCTTGACTTGAAATTGTGGGTAAACATAAAATCTTACCCAGTAGAAGAAGTAGCCAAGAGTTATTGGCCTACGCCGGACAAAGATGATGAATTTGATGGAGAATTCAATCCTCACTTCCATGGTTTAGATAACGTGAGTCTTGTCAATAATATACCGTTAGAGACTTGGAATGAATGAATTAAACCAGGAATCTATCTCTTAAGTGACTATAACTCGGATGAAGACATTAAATTAGTTTTCCCTGAAATAGAACCTGACAATACCGGAAGTAGAAATAACTTAGAGTTAGCCACAATACCTTGGTGGTTGCCAAACCTTGAAATACTATCCTTGCTATATCTATTGGAGTTTAATAATATTTCTGACCATTATCTTTGCAATTCCATGTAGTAAACAACCACCAACCTAATAACTTATCATATCTAATTTTTTTTTCTCTTCTATTTTTTTTATTTTCTTATTAACTTATCCCACATAGTATATATATATTTTCTTAAAAAAAAAAAAAACAAAAACAAACAACAAAATTATTTTTTTTACTCACCTGTTGGAACCACAATAGAACCAACAGAATATAACCAACTTAAACTCTACCTTGAAATAGCACAACATCCAGCAGATATAACACCGCGTACCCAGAGAAGAATTATAGCCCAAAGCAAGAATTTCTTGTTCTAAATAGACAATTATATTATAGAGGGGTTAAGAATAACAAGCTATTACAGGTCATTCAAACCCATAAAACAGAACCTCTTTTATATCTCTTATATAACCATCCTACCGGAGCTCACTTAGGAACGGATAAGGTGATGGAAAAAATCAAAACCAAGTATTATTGGCCTCAAAGACATGACCATGTGAAAAACTACATTAAAACATGTGATGTATGCCAAAAACGGATCTTCCTCTAGATCGCCATCAATATTTTCACCAGCACGTGATTAGTGTGGTATACTAGCGTAGCCACGATTGGCTGTTAATTTTAATAATTAAACACTGTGTATCATGATTAAAATAGAGATACGTATTTGAGATCAAGAGATTGAAATTGAGGGAGATTAGGTATTTTTATTACTTATAATAGAACTGACACAAACGTGAGTAAAATGAAGTTTATATGTCAAAGCTTTGCCATTTAGAACGAAAAATTAAAAAAATCATATTACTTTACTAGAAACGGTTCTGAAGATATCAACATGTATATAAAGCTTTTTACATGTAATATTATATAAAGAACGTTCATTGGGGTATGTAAAATTATTTTATTATATTCTTGATTATTTATTTCACTTTAATTAAAAAAAAAAGAACTATATAACTAATCTATATAATATTTTTGCTATAAAAATATTTCAACCACAAAAATAAATAGGCGTAAACCTCCACAAGTTTTTACGCGAGCGTAAACTTACGAAAATTTACGATTAGTTCAGAGTATTACGTAAGTGTAATAATTACAAAAGTTTATGCTATAGTAACTCCCACTGGTCGAAATTTTTTAATATAATAGGCTGATACAAAGGTGATTTATATAAAAACAAACATTATAAAATCGGGTATAAGATAACTGAATGCTTAATAATATCAGTAA